GCCTGATTTTAGTTCCATTTCATTGCAAAGTCAACCCAATCGCAAAATGTTTTGCACTCGCTCTTTTTTGTTTGTTTTGAAGGGGAGATAAGGACGATAGATGTTTCATAGGAAAGAAGAGGCAAATCACACCAGAGCACTCGCCAACCACCCACACCCAGTGACTTTAATTAATGACATCTGAAACTCTCAGCAACAGACCCAGTCAAAACGTTAGTTTTAGTAGAGGGTTTTATGGAGCTCGCAACAGCATAAGGTCATATGAGAGCCAAGGGGTAGGTGTCAACAAAGAAGTCTTTACAGGGAATCAGATATACTCTGCTCACATCTCTAGCTTCAACAGCACAAAGTCTGCTTCGACTATCAAGGAACCCCGGAAATAGCAAGTCACAAAATTGTGACAAACGTACAAAAGAAGTAGAGGAAAATGACAATAGTAAAGATTAGGAAAGAAAAAGCAGCAGTTCCCTGTTGTAGATCAGGCACAGTTATGAGCGTGACATGATGAATCAGCCCATTTACAATTCTACTGTGCATGAACGAGAAATGTCCCCCCTTTGGGAATGGCCTAAAGACACTATAGTCAGTGGCACTGCCGGTGGGGGGGGGGGGAACGCTAGAGTAAGTGAAGAGAAGGAATGGCTGGTGAAGGGACCAGCTGTTACACGGCAACTAGTCACTTTGCCCACATGAAAGGAACAAGTGACTGTTTATACAAAACCACATAGCGACTTGCATGTCCTGCAATATTCACATTCTGACCTAAAAAATAACCTATAACTGTGCATGCAGGGTAAGGATTTTTACAAATTTGCATGCAAATTCCCTATATTCCAATCGTCTTTCCAGCTGTAACCTTTACCTTTATCAAGAGGTACTGCACCCTAACACTTGTTGTATCACATTGCTTTTTTTCTTGCTACATCTACAAAGAGAAAGAGTCGGTGTGCTTGAAAGTCAGCGATGCCATTTGAAACAAGTGAAAGAAGAGTGTGAGAGTGCCTACTCATTCCCTCTCCTACATATTCATTACTATGTTTTACTGCATTTTGTAACAGTACAGCTCACGCAAGCACAAAGTATGTAAAGCAGGACATTAACTCCCAGTAGTTTTACCTATTTTGGCGTTTTCATTTATGTTTCAGGGGTCCTCCATACCCTCAAGCCTCATGCAATAATCTATCTACTCCAGATAGACATATTATATACATAGCTGCCACTCAGGAATTTCAAAAAAGGAGGAAATTCATGCGAAGGCGGACGCGCGCTCTCCGAAGCCGGAGTAAAACCAGTGAGATCCAGAGGCAATATATACAGGAAAATCTAGCCTATGGTTTTCGAAGGGAAAACTGTCATATTTATTAACCATAGGCAACTGAATTAAAATGTATTTGAAAAAAACAACAACAAAAAACAAACAAAAAAACAACAAAGGCACTAAGTAGACTACCAAGCATTTGAGTCACTTTGACACAGTTTGGACTTGGTGACTAAAAATCCAGTGTTTGTTGCAAGCTGGTGTCTTATAAAAAGATTTCTTTCACTTTAAACTTGTACATCGATGTAGAGCGCGCGCAGTATTGGATCAAGGAGGCAACACCTTTGCCGCTGTACTGAGCACTCCTGTACAATTGCGGTCCCGTTTGCACTTAACTTACTAGATCTAGTCCCTCTGTAGAGTGTAGATCTAACCTGAATTAAAATTATAGCCTAGGCTATCTTATCTAGAATCTAGATCTAGAAATCTAAATATGAGTAAATCTAGATTATATCTAGAGACAGATTATCTAGATCTAGATTCACTTCAATCAACAGCCACAATAGCCGTCATGTAAACAAACGGGACCGCAATTGTACAGGAGTGCCGCGATTTCTTTATCGCACCAAACGCAAAGTGCAGCACGCGGAGCTCCTTTTATTTTTGCATTCTGCATCAATTTCTCTCGAATTTCCGCCGTTTCCAATGACAACTCGGCGCGTAAACGTCCCGATGCCAGATCGACACTTTGTTGCTCCACAATAAACAAAGTGAAACTAACGCTCGGCCTAGAAGAATGGAAGTAGAAAGCTACGGGCGGACATGCGCAAGCTGCGTTTTCGTCTCTCTCCCGGTTCGGTGCTTTCCGTGTGTAAAAAAGTATCGCAATTTGCGACCGAGAGCGGTCCAGCGTGAGGAAGGAGGAAAGTTGCGGGAAAAGGTAGATGAAGCGGAGTTTCCGCTATTTAGCGGGAAAGTGGCAGCTATGTATATATCAATGGAAAGGGAATTGGATGGTCTTTCAGACTTAGCCAATAGATTTCAGTTTTCGAAAAACTGTCTTGAAGTGGGACCTTTTTTTCTTGTTACTAAATACAGAAACAAAAACCAGACATCACACTTTTCCAACGGTCACAAAGAAGGAAAAAGAAAGTGTTGGAGAATTTAGAGTTTACAATTATTTCATGGAAAAGTGCATTCAGTTCTGCATATTATGTACATATCATATACCAATAGAAAGGGAATCAGATGGTCTTTCAGACCTAGTCAATAGATTTCATATTTGTCAAGCTTTCTTGAGGTGTGACAGTTTTTTGTGTAACTAAAAATAGATGCAGAAACAGAAATCGGACTACCCCAACAATCAAAAAGAAGAAATTTTTTTTTCTCACAATTTAGAGTTTACATTCATTGGATGACAAAGTACATTCAATTCTGCATGTAATGTGTAAAAGACACCTCATTCTGTTGAAAAACAAAGAAACGAGGACCGTTTTTGTGCATTCTACAAATTCTCTGTAATTGGCTTTGAAACTAGAAATTTCAGAGCGAGAATATTATAATAAAACCATCAATTTTAATATTTATTTATATAGTCTATTTAGTCATTTTTTATTTGATAAAAATACCTTACAAAATCTTTCTTTATAAAAGTATATGTACTTTATGGTGAAATACCACATCACCAGCCATCGTATATATTTAAACGATATAGTACTGCATGAACTGCTGGGAGTTAAGTTAAGCAAATGCTCCTAAATAGATTATAATTTTTATTAGTACGAGTTCTTTATCATATTAATTATAGAGACAAGATGTCCTTTTACAATTAAAGCAGGCTCTTAAAAGGGCTGGGCACTGTACTATGCCCGGACTGTCCGCCAGCCCAGGCCATTCTTAAGCAATGAATGATTTCCTTCAAGGGGAAAAGCTCAACCATTGCACCCAAAATGCATTAGTGCGCAAAAAAAAATAAGACTTAAACCTCGGAAGCACAAAATCGCACAGTGCACATTAACTCACTTCAGACGGGTCACACAACAGTTGCGTGACCCCCACCATGACGCTCGCGACGGGTCTCACAAGCCCTGCGTGACCAACTTTGGAATTTTTTTTTCGCTCTACAAATCACGCACGGATCGCGAGACCCGCCTCGTACCCTTGTTTGGCCAAGCCTGAGCTACTTAGACTTCGTTTCGTATCTCTGGGGCCGGTAGTTTTTAAGTTATTGAAGGTGAAGGACAGTGACCCCTACTGGGGTTGAACAGACCGTAACTCGCGCTTTGTTTTTTTCTATACAGCTGATAGTAATCCGACAGTCGCGTCGCAGTAACGGTCGAAGAAGTCGCATGAACAAGAATCACATAATTTCCCCGTTTTCTATACTTCTGTGCGTTTTACTAGTTCTAGTGTCTCAGAATATGATGTGTCTAATAGTTAGGATCCTGGATATGTACCCGAACACGGCCCGAGTCGTAGTTCTAGGGCTAGATCTAGCACTAGTACTGGTGTTGTTTTTCGCGCAACGAAATCACAACGTCGTGCCGTACATCTGTCTCATGTAATTCAGTGTATGGGTCTGAATCAATGCACAGACCAGCTTTTATATTTTCACCAAACACTTGCACATGTATACAAATCAAACCAGAACACTTTGAACTTTTATTTTTGTTGTTGCAGTGAATTTCATTCTACTTGTCACGTCTCTGGAAATTTTTCGAAAATCAAATTCATGCCAATTTTTAAAAAATCATACAAATTAAAGTATTAGACTTAGACAACTTTAGTTTTTTGTACTAGATTAAGCTTGAACTTTATTGTGTCAAAAAATGATTACAATAGGGTAATTCTGAGAGTTGTGGTGACTTATTGAAATACCCCCCAAAACGCCAGTCTTCAACGCTTGTGACTGGTGAAAGGGCCCAGTCGCAAGTGAGTTAAACCTGGTAATTCTACAGGACAAAAAAGAAATCCCATGGCTTTGAGAAAGGAAAAAAAATAACACATTGTAAACACATATATATGATCCAAGGTAAAAAGGTGCCAGAATTGGAAGAAAATCGAAATTTACACTAACAAGGGCCATATTTTCCTTATAATACACTTATCGAGGACACCCAAACATACGGAAACATATTAGTAGAAAACAGTTGCTTCAATGATAATCGAGTAATTTGATGGTCATTTCATGACCCTTTAACACTTTACCATCTCTCGTCGCCTTGCGGCAATGCGTAAGCACTCGCGTCACTGTGTCATATCGCCTATGTGTACCTTAACAACGGGATGGCTCTTAAAGCTCTACAAACACATTATTAGAATGACTTCCCTTTCCTGACATGCATACTTGTTTTTAATTCTGTTTACTTCAGATTGGTTTACAAACGAAAAGGAGGGAAAGATAGCGTAAGTTTAGTCATTTTCATAGCGAGTTTCGAGCTGAAAAGACGTTGAAAATGAGTGGTTTGAGTGCACCTACAACCAGCAGTCATTTTCACCATGACAGTGACCCGGGACAGTCTGCCCCTGGCGATGCCAGTGACATTTCACAGCCTTGCGATGAGGAGAACGTAAGCGATAGTAAAACAACTACTCATCAACTTTCCAATCAAGATCTAGAAGAGCTAGACCCACACGTATTCGAGAATCTTCGTCATCTGATAGTGAGCTTTCACAGACACAATTTAGATCATTTATGAGGTCGGCTTCCAACCCTACCGGTCAACACTGGTCTATTTCAGTATGAAAAATGTATAACTTTTATTGTCTTCCAGAGAACAAGTTGCTCGCTGTCACGGAGCTCCGAAATAAATGCTCATCACACAGAGTAAGTGAATTGCTGATCGATAAGAACACTCCACAGGACAGGAGTTACACGGTTTCCAGGTTTTTAAGTAAGAAACCCTCCGTTTTTGTTGTGTTTTTTTTGGGGGGGGTGTTTTTGATCATCCTGCACACCCATTAAAATCAGTTCACCTTTTCACCTTGGATCATGATAATAAAAACAATCTAGTACAACCCATTATATCATTATAGCTATGGCAATCATCAAGATCTGTGGAAAGGTTTTTCTTCATACGGATCCATATAGTTGTCAGCATTGCCTTGATAGAGCAGGTCTCGTATATCCCGGAAGAGCTTGAGAGCAACTCCTAGAGTCTTAATTCCAAGCATGCCTCCAAGGGGCGGTCCTACAATATCGGAACGCTTCAGGAGAGCCAGAGCAGCACCGTCCAACTCCTTAAATAGAAAGAAAAAAAGAAAACATTTCAAACTTTTCAAAGAAAAAAACTTCATGTATGATTATTGTGGGCTCAATAATGCAGCCCCGATTCATTAGCTTCAAAAACTGATTGGTCATTAAAATCTCAACAGTACATATCTTTATTTTATTCTCATCATTCACAAAACCGGACAAACAATTTAGAACAATATTTTCTTCACCCCTATAAAACTGTGAAAGTCCTTACATTAACATAGGAGGTTATAAGTCATCACACAAAAAAGAGAAAAAAAAGCTACTGGCCAGTGATTACTCGGCTAGTACAAGCACCCTCTCCTGCTTATGTAATCTTTCTTCCGTCACTTTGATTGAGCTTGAATTTACCACTAAAATTATTAATAAAAGGCCTGCTACCCATGAGATGAGATGCAATTTATTTCTTAGATCGGATGTGATATGAACCATTGAGCGTGGCCAATTTCAGGTCAAGTATTCAGCAGTATTGTTTTTCCCTTCTGTTCTATGTCTTTTTCAACCTAGCATTCTACAATGACAACCCCCTCCCAAACATCTGACAATTTTAGAAAAGTTCAGTATTATTTCTTTTTTTCTACCATATCTTTCAAAATGTTTTCCTTGTCAGGTCGACATGGGTCCCCACAGCAGACACTTTATTCAAAAATTGAATGCCACGACCCCATTTTCAATGATAACTGGCTGAAAAAAAAAGTCCATTCCAAATGAAAATATCTTCAATTCAAAATTACAGAACTTCGAAGGAAAAGCATATGCAGGGACCTTAAGAGAAATGTTCTGGCTCGGTCTCAGTTTCTAGATGACAAGTCAATGACAATGATGTCATGCTATGAATGCAGCATTAGAATTTCTTTGGCACTTGAAGTAACCTTACAATTTCCGGTTGGCTTGAAAACATAAAAAGCCGAACCTTTCAAATAATCAATTTTCACGCTTTTCTGACTTTAATGCAATTAAAAGCCTCCTTCTTTAATTTCTTATTTTAAAGTTGAGAAGTTTCAAATAAAACACTTTCAACCACACCAGAGCACCCGTCAACCATCCATCTGTTGGGTTTTCAGTCTTTGGACTGGCATGGCGAGTTAGTAAGATTTTAAAATCTGGTGTCCCTTGACATGCAAAGTGATGGAAGGTGGGAGTAGACCGCAAATTTTAACTCTCAGCATAACGGAAGTATATCAAAATTACAACCGAAAGTGAAATGTTATCAAGTGGGTATTGGCAACATTTTTTCTCTCATTCTGACATTCTCTCAGGCCCAGTATCAAATTGGTTTGACATTCACAACCGAGCCTTATGGAACCTGAAGAGGGGGGGAGAGCAGAGATGGACATGTTCCGACTGCAGTGACCCCAACACAGTGGAAAAGTAAGACAAGTAACCGAGCCTTAGAGAAAATAACCACAATATGGTGCAGAAAAAAAAACAACAACAAAAAACCCAGCACTTTCCCAAATGATAATTATTGTATGAAGTATTCTTAATTGAAAATGCCTCATTTCATTCAAATTCTCTATTGATGTGATTTGCAACAGATGGAGGAAAGAGGCACTTAGCGGTACCTTTTACTAAATATAAAGGGTGCTTTCTCAAATTAACGCCTCAGCACACTGAGAGGGGGGGGGATGTCCTTAATTTAACCATGTGTGATGCACAAGTCTTGAAACCAGTATTTGCCAACATTATCTCTTACTAAAGGTGCTACTCGCAAAATCAAAAGCTACATAAATGAGATATTAAGAGGAAAAGGGGTAAATTCAACACCTACATTCTCCAACATCTTTTGAGCCTCGGCTTCATATCCTTTTTGGGCGAAGTACTCCGCAACTTGCTGTGGAGTCCAACTGGCAATGTCTGGATATGCATATGCAGGCAGACTGCGCGAGTCCTCTTCATCCTCGTTATACAGTGACGACTGCTCAGATTGGGTTCCTGCACATAGAAAGAAAGTGAATTATCAAGGTTAAGAAAACAGCTTGCCTTTTCTTCATTAGGTGATCAACACAAGGCATCAAAACAGAGACTATAAAATTAATCAAACAAGACAATACAGACACTTTAACCCCTTCACTGCCGGCTATGAGCTACATAGCTGTGCCGGGAAAAATTGCTCCCATTACTACAAGCGTCACATAGAGCCCCTAACTCAATTGAAATCATTATCATCACTGTTAGTCATTCATAACTTCGTGTAGAACTTCTGCGGCTAAAAAGGAAGGTCGATAGACTGGTCTGTTGGCTGCCATTGCGAAAAGAAAAAAAAAACCCCACCAAAAAAACACAACTCAGAACGTCAACACTTCACTTCTTCAAAACAATGAAAATGACTCAGATTCACGGGAGACTACTGTAATATCAATGAGGATTAGTCGTGACACAGTTTTGTCCCTTTAAAAGGTGGAAAATTGCACACAAAATGACTTCATAATAGTCCCACTGAATCAGCGGGCACATGGCACAGGGAAGCACTTCTTGGCCCGCTGAATCAGCGGGCCGGGGCAGTGAAGGGGTTAAAGATATTATATAAGAACAAATTTTTGTGTCAATTCTGAAAAAAATGTTATGCCTGAGACATATATATATATACATATATAAATATATATCATATGAAGCACTTACCTTGCTTTGAATTTTCATCATTAAATATTTCGGAATCCTGTTCAACTCTTTCCGTCTTTGGAGTTGGTGAACAGCCTTTCTTTGGTCGCCCTCTCTTCTTTTTGGTTTCAAATTTGAAACTGTGAACAGTTTGTTACAAAAGACATATAAGCACATGTGGTGTTACATTGAAAAGAAACTACAATTTACTACATTCTGAGGCAAACTAACCTGTCTATGAAATAAATCAGCTTCTGAAAAATAATCTTTAAGCATGAAATTTCTTACGAGCACCCAACTCATAGAGATATTGAAGCTCCATGATCAGATTTTCAACTTACACAATTGTAATACAGTAAAATTGAATACAATGAACTTAGGACTGAACAGAAGGAGAAAGATTATCCCAGTTGTTTTTTTAAACTCAAAACAATCAATTAAAACACCTTGTATTCAACTAAAACTTAAACAAGCAAAGTTGAAATCAATGCTTGCTGAACGAAAAGCGCCTGGTGATGTAGCTAGGCAAATTTCTCTCCTGATCTTTTCCAATGGACCGTCAATCATCACATGCTTTGAGCATATATCAGTATCATTCACCGTCCACTACCATTGACCTATACTATAGATCAGGAGATACAGCCATCATATATATGTAAAATATGCCACAGTGTGGTGGAATCAGGTTCTCGTCAATTTTTTTGCATGTGGAGTCATTGGCATAATTTGATGGCTGATTTATTTGCCTTGCTTTCAATGAAAAAATACTGTCTTTTTATAGAAGTCAAGATGTTTGCAATTGAATGAGGTAAAGTTTCCTGGTTTCGGTGGTGAAATTACCGAGAAAATGGCTGCCAAAGTTTAGTTTTAGTAGCTAGTAGAGGTTTTCGGCGCTCGCAACTGCATACGGTCATATGAGCACCAAGAGCAGGATGTCAACAGAGAAATCCTTACTGGGAATCAGGCTTACTCTGCTCACCTCTTCAGCTTCAACAGCACAATAAAGTCTGCTTCGACTATCAAGGCAGCCCGGAAATACCGGGTCACAAGAGTGTGACAAACATACAAAAGAAGCAGAGGCAAAATGACGATAGTAAGGATTAGGAAAGAAAAAGTGGCAGTTCCCTGTTGCAGTCGTGCACATCTAAGAGCATGACATTGATGAATCAGCCCATTTACAATTCTACTGTGCATAAGAACATGTCAATGTCCCCCCTTTGGGAATCGCTTAAAGACACTTCAGTCAGTAGCACCACCCTTGGGGGGGTATGCCAAAGTTCGGTAACTTCAATAGCTAAAGAGTCTATGAAAACTGAAAAATGACGTATTGTGTGCCTTTAATTTAATCAACGTATTTCAGTAAAATTAATATGGAAATGTGTTTTATATGAACACAGAAGGGGTGGAGTCAAAAAAGAAAAAAAAAATCGATCAAAATTGCCAAACTGGTGAAAAAATGCTTGTTTCTCCGATTTTGTAATTCTGATGAGCGCCTGATTCCACCATGATGCCTCACATATATCAATCTTATCAGGCATAAATGGGTAAAGTCTAAAAATTCTAACTGGCTGATTCTTGTCTACGTTTTAAAATAGGGTCAAACACATTATCTGAACAAATGGCACAAAGAACCAAAGAAAAGAAATGCATGAAACATCAACATGAAACTTAATACTAATAAATAGCATTTATGCTGCGTATTTCCATTTTCTAAAAAATGCTCTATGCGCATTACATAAAAAAAGACAACACATCTTAAAAATTAATCGACATGTGAGTACGTAAAACACAGTGTTATGCATATAAAATATATTTGCAAGTATAAAACTTTCTATGAGAAAAAGTCTCACAGAGAGCTTGGAAATGCGTTCACTAAAAAATACACAAATACAATAAAAATTCACGGTCACTATTCAGTAACATTGAAACTTGAATAACTAGAAACATTCATTCTCTATAAATCGAAATACATTTCTATTCTCTTTCTCTTCCTCTCGGTCTCACAGTCTGGCATACACATGCATAAAAAAAATAACAGTACATCATTATGACGGGTATTGAATAAGAAAGTAGTAGTAGTAGTATAGGGTTTTACGGCTCTCGCAACTGCTAAGGTCATATGAGCGCATGAAACACAAGTTGTTTACTTTCGCAAAAGTTCGCAGCACGATTGGTTAACTAATTGACTTTAAAATGCTAAAATGTTAAAATATTTAAATTCAGTGTAAATATATTTGTGAATAAGAAATGCTTCAGCTGTTTTTTGAAAATGTAAATTGTTGGGGCACATCTTATTTTATATGGGAGTTCGTTCTATACCTGGGAACAATAAAACAAAAAGGAATGCTTGATGTATATTTCGTAATTTTGTTTTGGAGTTTTAAGAATTAGATTGTCAGAGGCTAATCTAAGGGCTCTTGGTGGATGACATGTTAATTCCAGGAATTTTTTAAGATAAAAGGTGCAGCATCATTTATACATTTAATCATAGCAGAAAACGGCAATTTTGTATTTCATCCTTTCTTTTACTGGCAGCCAGTGTAGTTCTTTCAGAATTGGTGTTACATGCGTTGATTTCTTTTTTTTTTTTTTGCATTATCAATTTTGCTGCTTGACTTTGGAGTACTTGTAAATTAGTTTTCCACCCATCAAACCAGATAAAATAAAGATAAAATAGCATTGCAATAAATTTAATTTTGATAAAATCAATGTTGTTACTAATATCTTGGGTGCTGCTTGAACAGACATGTTAAATTCTTTCATCTAATCTTACAGCTGCGGGATATCCTGTAAATTACGCTTACTAGGAGGTGGCCCATCAAGTCAGCTATTGAAAATGATTACCTGTTTTCCACAGCAGCTTCAGATTTTTCAGAAGAGGGTGAGTCTGCTGGAGTAGGAAAAACTGACTCCTTGTTTTCTGAGGAGAAAAAAAACAACTCTCCTTTAGCCAATGTTCATTGTCACAAAATTTCATGTCCCAACTTAATGAGCGTGCGGGACATTTTCAGTTGGTAAAGAAATTTTGAATTTTGCCCAGGTGGCCGAAGCCTGCTCTTATTATCAATTATTATAACCACCAAGGGATCTTTTAATGTGCGCAACTTACACACGTGACCTACAAGATTTTTCACCCTTGTCCGAGAATGCTAGGTGTAGATCTTTCCTACCACAAGATCAGGGGTGTGGCTGAAAGACAGTAGAAAGAAGGAGCCAAGGAGTAGCAGTAGAAGGTTGCAGAAAGAGTCAGGAGCCCAGAAGAGGGGGCAAAGGAACTTATTCAAAAGTAGATAGATCTAATAAACACAACAAAACACTGAACAGTACTATGCAGTCAAACCTTCCCAGACGGGCACTTCGATTTCGTTTACTTTATTTCGAAATAATGGCACTACCCAAGATGATATATCACCTGTCTAACGAGACCTCAATCACTAATCTTAACTAGCACCAGCCACAAAAACCTATCCAGGCTGACCACGCAAGTCTCTACGTCATAAATTATATATAATATATCAGCCCCTGATGCAGTTGATGAGCCGCCACATTCCATTCATCTGTTGTTATTGTTAGACCCTTCTATGAATAAACATTCACTGACCAGCACCAGGTTACTGGTCCCTTCCCACCACCCCTCCGCATGTGTTTTAGTAATTAACAGATAGGAAACTAGTAAACTGAATTAGAAATTCATAATACGGCCATGATAAACCTTCCTGACCAAGTGTCAAGGACAGGGGTCGTATTCCAGTACTGTACAAATCTAATGTAAACATAGGCGTGATGAGTTTTATAAAAGAGCAGAAGTTTTCTAATACTGTCAATCTAATGTTTGCCTTACTCCTGGTTTGGGCCCTTCTAAAAATATTTTTTTTAAAATCAGAATCGGGTATTACAATAGTTTTTTGGGGGGATGTAAAACTGATCAAAAATTGTAACAATTCTCCTAAATTTGTAATGGTGGGCAGCCCTGCCTCCCCACTGTTTACATAACATAAGTTGACTAAGGTAACAAATTTTCAGCTGCTGAGGAATGAGGCATGTGAACTGTCATATTCGATCCCCCTCACACAACTGAACAATCGTCTGACCATGTACAAATCTTACATGAGATGAGTGGCCACTCTGTTCTCCCAGTTGGTAACGATTGACATCAATAACAATATGAACTTGCGATAGAATTGTTACTTGTTTGCCAAATGACAACCCATTCACTTGTTGTACCATGGCACTCATTCTGCTCCTTCATCATCATCATTGACTTTTTCACCCTGGATCAGGATATAGGCCACGAACAAACAATTGCCACCTTTCCCTATCCTGGGCGAGTCGCTTGATGTCACTCCATGTCTTCCCACTTTTCTGCACATCCATTTCCGTGACTCTTCTCCAGGTTCCATGTGGTCATCCCCTTGATCTTTTACCCTGTGGGTTCCAATTTAACACTTTCCTTGATATGCAGCTGCTTGACTTCCAGAAAGTGTGTCAAATCCATCGCCAATGCCTTCTTCCCACCTCATCTATGACTGGGCTCTGTCTCGTTCTTCTTAATACTTCCTCATTGGCGACCCTGTCTGTACATCTGATCCTCAGTAGCTTCCTCAGAAACTTGTACAAGAAAACTTGGATCCTCTTTATGCACGTCTGAGATGCGTTCCATGTCTCACATCCATACAACAGGACTGACTTCACATTTGAGTTGAATATCCTCAGTTTTGTTCGTGGTGAGATATCCCTGGTCCTCCAAATCCTGTTCAAAGAAATAAATGCAGTCTGTGCCTTTCCAATACCGGACTTTATTTCAGCGCCTGTTCCTCCCTCTCTGTCAATTATACTCCCAACATAGCAGGAATCGACGTCTTCTAGTGCATTTCCCTCTACTGTGACCTGCTCCTTTCGTAGTGCATCTATCCTTAGGGTTTTTGACTGTCCGGGGTGGATCCTCAATCAAACTGTCTCTGACAGGCTGTTCAAAATAGTGGTCTTTGCTTGCATCTGTTCCTGAGTGTGTGACAGAAACGCCAACTCATCTGCAAAATCCAGATCGTCCAACTGTGTCCATGGGGTCCACTGTATGCCATATCTGTGTCCTCTGGTGGTTTCCTTCATCAGCCAGTTGATTGCCAAGATAAAGAGGAAAGGTGATAGTAAACATCCCTGTCTCACACCAGTCTTGATGTAAAAGCTGTCAGTGAGCTGGCAATCATGTATAACCCCGCAACTTGTCCCTTCGTACATGCTCCTGATGAGGTCAACCAACTTCTGTGGGATTCCGTGATGTCTCAGTATCTTCCACAGTGTCGCTCGGTCTATACTGTCAAAGGCCTTCTCATGGTCAAGAAAGTTGACGATCAACTGGGAGTTCCACTCCAAGGATAATTCCACAATGATCCTCAGCGTGGCAATCTGGTCTGAAGTTGACCAATTTTTCCGAAATCCAGCCTGTTCATCCCAAAGTTTTAGATCCGTTGCAGATTTGATTCTCTCCAGAATGATTCTGTTGAAGACCTTACCTGGTATTGAGAGAAGAGTGATTCCTCGGTAGTTGCTGCAGTTGCTGAGATATTCCCCCCCTTAAAAAATGAAGTTCCACAAGGTGTCCTTTCCAATCCTTTGGGAACTTGCTCTCATTCAAGATCTTGGTAAACAACGGAAAAAGGAAGTCTGGCGTAACATTGGCATCTGCTTTTAGGGCCTCAGGTGGAATCTGATCAGGACCGGCCGCTTTTCCGTTGTTCAGCTTCTTAATGGCATCGATAATCTCTTGTTTTGATGGAGCATCACAGCAGATTGGTAACTCATTTCTTGCTGGCAGGATGTTTGGCGGGTTACTTGGTGGTGGTCTGTTCAGGAGACTGTTGAAATTTTTATGCTCTACCCATCATCTTAACTGAGCTTCCTTTCCAAAAATGTTTTTTTCCCTCTTGACCATTATTGTTACTTCTGGTATTCCATATTTTGCAGAAAGTCTTTGTATTCTGGTAAAGGATTCGCATTGTTCCCTCCTGCTGCTGCCTCCTCTGCCAGTCTGTTCGTGAATTCATCCTTGTCTTTTCTTAGTGATCTCTTTACCTCTTGTCCTGTACTGCTCCAGTGCGTCCGCTTTTGATCCCCTTGTTCTACTTACATTTGTCTTTGCTTTCAATAGTCTTCTAGTACTAATCAAACCCAATGACTGTTGGCTAATCCATTCCTTGTGCTCCAATTTCTTCTCACCAAGTATTTCTTGACATTTTGAAGTAAAGACTTCTTTGACCTTGGTCCAGTACGTGCTTCCCCACCTCCATGTCCTCCTCACCAAGATCCGCCAAGGGTTGAAGTTGAAATCTGTTCCTCAACTGCAGATGAAACTCCTCTTTCTTGTGTCCATCTAAGAGACTTACTTGGAACTTCGTTCGTTTGGTTCCTGTTCGTGCTTTCTGCTCCTTATATATAGAGGTAATTGGTTGTTTATTAAATTCACACGATCATGTGAGTGTCCAGTGAATGCTAAATCCTGATTTCTTTTTCGAAACCCCAACATAACAACATATGGCATTTTATTCAATGTTCTGGGCTGTGATATCACTAATCATTAATTATTACAATTATGCTATTGTAATTATATATATATATAAACAGATTACAGATAACTCACAAACATACTATTGTCTATAAAAGAAATAAACAAGAAAATAAAAGTAAACAAACTGAAAAAAAAAATCAGCGTCATTTATAACAAACCTGTAAACCTGGACTTGACTTTTGTAGGCATCTCTATCTCAAAATCAGGCCCGTGATTTTTCATTACCCTCTGAAAATAATATCAGAACAGAAGAATCAGTTAAATAAAGAGATCAACTTTTTCTTGTCAATATCATAATACGCACAGAATGACCCCCCCCCCCCCCCCCAATTTTTTCTTAACATAATTTTCCTTCTTCTAAAGACCTATATTGTCATTTTTCAGTATAAAACCTTTTTCAAATTTTTGGCAAATCCCTGGTAAAAAAAAATGTTTTCCTCTCACACATCTAACATAAAAAGTATTTAAATATAGGGATCGAAAGAAGACCCTATATATATATATATAAGCAATTTTCTGCACTGCTAAATTCATTTGCTCTAAACACTAAAAGCACCATTTTAAAAGTTAAACAACCAAAGATTTCACACCCAGGGGCCAAATTAACGAGGGATATTTTAAGAGAAAAATAGCCTGAGGGATATTAGAATTGGTAGCGTCAATTGCCACCAAGTGACGCTGTGGCAATTGACAAAAATTGACTTTTTGTCGTCTGAAAACAACACTATCTTTAGCTTTATACATAATGTGTGTCTAATGGGTCAATTTGTTCTCAACTAATTTCATTGGACGAGCTAGTCTAGAGCTACGGTACCAACTTGGCGTGTTTTCAATTAGACGTAGGCCTAGATCTAGGCTAGCCTTAGCCTACACTTTGGTGTAGAACCAACACAGGCAATTCTAGAAGTATAAGGTCACAAACGCACACAAACTCAAGCAGAAATTCACGTTATATCTGGGAAATGGGACGGGGGACGGGGGTCAGGAAAAGACACACACACACACACAGAGGGACCGAGAGGCGAATGCACAACACCCGAGCACTCAAGCACAATAAGCTAGATCTACCCACCACACCAACGCAAAAGAGCTCCAATTTACTCTGTGGCAATTGACAAAAAGTCAATTTTTGTCAAGGCAGCCTTTTTGTCAATTGCCACCGCGTCACTCGGTGGCAACTGATGTTGACACTACCCCATTAGAATTAGGGCCCTAACTGGGGGGGAGGGGGTGGGGTGTTAGTGTAATACATAATACGAAGCTCGCACCTGCATAAAAGGTCATAATGAGCACTCCAGACACATTAAACATTTTCAGTAGGAAAGAAATTTTGAAATTTGCCCAGGAGGAGGCCGAAGCCTATTCTTCAATTCTGGACCACCAGTAGGGATCTTTAACGTGCGCAACTTGCACACGGGACCTCCGTGATTTTTCTCCCTTGCCTGAGAAGGAGAGGTGTTACTGAAAGATAAGGAGCCATGGAGTAGCATGTAGAAAGGCTGCAAGGAAGAGACAGCGGAGCCCAGAGGAGGGGGCAAAGGAGGTGAGGCAATGATGGGGCAGAAAGAGGAGACAAAAGCAGATGAGAGGACATTGTAGAGAGCAGGAAAGAAGATGGAAGGAGAAAACTTTAGAGAACAAAATTTTCCGTTGCTATCCGGATTCTAACCCAGGAATTAATTAACGAGATTCCAACACGGTAACCTTGCTCTCGATCTTGAGAACCCCCCGGCTCTACAACTGGATCTCCCATTAGTCATTAGTGTCATGAAAGACTGTCTCAGATGACATGGGATGAGGTAAGGTGAAAATTAAGTAGGTGTGAGGTTATTTAATTTTTAGAACCATTACCTCATGGCCACCTTTGCTTCAACGTTCTTCATTCGCAACTATTTTTAGATTTTGACTCCTTTTCGAGCAGGAATGGTCTGAAATGTAAACAACTCTGACTGGCGACACGAAGTAAAACTGGCAACTTCTAGCGCTCACTTCAAGCTTGTTTACACGTAAACAGCTGACTGTGTGGGCGTGCCCTGCTATTGTCTGTTGATCTTTCAGTTTTACACTTAAACCTTCCTTTAGATCTCCCAAAGCGGGCTCCTTACCAAGAGGCCACAATGGCGGTCTACATGCATGTGTGTGTACAACAAACGTGTTGGTGTGCTTTTATGTGTGTGTGCCCTCGTGTGTTTAAAGGTGTTATTGCAAACACTGACTCGCGGCTTGGGTGAAATGAGATTTCGCGACTTCAGTGCTTTCTTGTGTTATCTTCATTTTTGTAAACAGTGAAAATGTGACTCCTTCTTATGCTCACTCTTTGTTTGTTATGAACTCACGTCAATAGTTGTGAAGACGTTTCTTCTAACCCAAAGTAATTCTAAACGGAATTCTAAATTGGAGGAATTGGGGCAGTTTGTGTCTGAAAACCTATGGTCTGTATCAATGGAAGTGGCATGAAGTGGTGAAGTTGTGGGAATTTTTTTCAAAGACAAACAGATGAGAGAGGTATTTGCAAATCTGCGCCGACAAGTTATTAGTAATAGACCAGCAATAGCTTCTGATCTATTGACCGGCGCGACGCCCGAGAATAGTCACTTGCTAAATCATTATTTACTCACTTTTCGTTTTGATGGTGGTCTCAGGGGTAATACAACATTTGTCTTATCACCAACAGTATTTCTGCCTGCAAAAGAGGGATTTTGAGACAATCTCGACATTGAAGCTTGAAACTGCACTAACGAACTCGTAACAACATCGAGTCTTTTCTCCAAATCAGATCGATCACATTCCATCTTGTACTCCGTATGAGAAGAAAGAAGACCATCTGATGAACTACCTGTGTTGGTGCGGTTTGCCTCCCCATTGTCTTTCAGAATGTAAAAGGTTTTGCCCATAACAATTTGACTTTCAACAACACCTTTAGAGATGCTGTCTTGCAAGCACAGTGAGACGTTTGTATCGGTTTCCACAATACTTTGCTTTGAAAGAGCTGTTTTTATATCATCAAAGCTAGCACCTTCAAGTCCATCAGCTACATGACCCCTCATCGCTGAAAACAAACACTCTGGGGTTAATTTTTTAGAATGCATGCTAGAGTTGGGTTTATTACACGTTCCATCAGTCGGAGCCACAACACCGCATTCTTGATCCTTGCTATCTTGCGCGTCACCCGAGTCTAGATCTAGCGCAGGCAGCATTTTACTCACATGGTCTTCGTTGATTCGGTAAACCGTAACATCTCCCACTGCTCTTTTATACAGGAATCCAGTTTCTATTTCTTTATCCAATGCATCTCGAAGTGCAGAACCCGACAAGAAGCATTTTTGTTCAACTTTACTACCCAAATACTCCTCAATAGTTTGAGCGGAAACACCCGTGCCTTTTGAAGCCTCGTTTTCTCGTATAGCTTTGATAAAACGTTTCAGCATTTTGCTGGAATTCATAATTTGACCACCTAGTCTCCCTTTTTTCCACTTAGAGACATCACGGTAGCTTATCTTATTTTTGTATTCCGCTTGAACAACAAATCCACATTCAATAAGTGAATCCAGAAGTTTCTTCGTCTGTGGAAAACTCATCTGATGTTTTCTCTTCATGCGTAAGCTGATATGAGGCAAATCTGGACGGGCTTTCCGATGTTTCAAATGGTTAATAGCCTCAAGAATCCACTCCTTTTCACACTCAAGAACCATGTTTGAATATTCACACAATTCCTGGTAAGAATTAAAACATTTTACAATCTCCGCAAAACAATGAAAACAATTTTTCTTTGTCACACCCTGTGCACGTAGGTCATTACACGCTCGTGAGACTTTTCCACAACCCACAAGCTTTGGCTACAAGTAAGGTTTGGCCTGTGTCTTTGCTGCGCATGCTCGAGAAGAGAGTTTCAGTGAATTATGGGTACATGGGGAAATATTGAACCAATCAAAACGCGATACCGCGTGATACAACCCACCAAAACACAAAGCACGTGCTGTGGTTGAAACGGGGAAAATTCCTTTGTTGCCTTGACTTGATAGACTAGATCTAGATCTAGATCTAACTAACTTATAGACCTAATAAAATTAACCACGATTTATTTCCAGGATAACCTTTTCAAGGGATATTTTTTTTAATAGAAAAAAAATGTAGGTGCTCAAAGCATAAGCTGCTTGGTACAGCCTTGGTACATAAAAGATGCGCTTTTATTATGAAACAATGTAAATCTAAACTTGTTTTGAAATTTGTAGCCTAGATCTAGATTTACTCTTTAAATGTAGATCTAGATCTATTGCAAATTTGGAAAATATCAAGTCAATGAAATTCTAAATTGTACCCTGAAGAAATGAAAGGGTCATATCTCAAGTGATAGCACAAGAGAATGTCTTTTAACCAAGCCCAACTAGACTCTCTAAGTGTAATTACTGTTGCGAAGATAAATATTCCAACTGGTTATAATTACCCCGGTACCATTAATGACTATCCGTGCGTGTGCCTATAATTATATAT